TGAAATAAAATTTTATTCAGCCATAAAAAGAAGGAAATCTTGCTAGGTGACAACATGGATATACCTTGAAGATATTATGCTAAGTGAAATCAGTCAGAGAAAGGCAAATGTATGATCTTACTTATATGTGGAGTCTAAAAAACAGACAGAAAAAAAAAGGAGCTCATGGATACAGCGAACAGATTGGTGGCTGCCTGAGGCAGAGGATGAGGGGTGGGAGAAATGGTTAGAGAGGGTCAAAAGGTAAAAACTTTGAGTAATAAAAATAGGGGTGCCTGGGTGGCTCAGTTGGTTAAGCATCCAACTTTGGCTCAGGTCATGATCTCACGGTTAGTGAGTTTAAGCATTGCATCAGGCTCTGTGACGACAACTCAAAGCCTGGAGCCTGTTTCATATTCTGTGTCCTCCTCTCTCTCTGCCCCTTTCTGGCTCACTTTCTCTCTCTCAAAAATAAACATTAAAAAGTTGTTTTTTAAATAAATAAGTTCTAGGATATAATATACAATAAGGTGATTATAGTTAATAATACTACCTTGTGTATTTTTAAATTGCTGCGAGACCTTAAAAGTTCTTATCAGAAGGAAAAACAAACTGAATATATATGTGTTGATGGATGTTAATCTAGATTTGTGTGATCATTTTGTAATACATATGAACATCAAGTCATTATGCTGTATACCTGAAACCGATACAATGGTAGATGTCAATTATATTTCAAGTTTTTAAAATCTCATGCAAAAGAACTTTTGAAAAGTGGTTAAAGAAAAGTTTAAAAAAAAAGAATTTTGCTGAGTCTAAAGTCACATGTCTTTATTTGAAAACAGATAAGAAGTACATTGCTATGTACTATTGAGTCATATTTAGAAAGCTTATTCTTCCCTGACGTAAATAAATAGAGATAATTTAAAATGGATGACATCTGGGGCGCTTGGGTGGCTCAGTCAGTTAAGAGTCTGACTTCAGCTCAGGTCATGATCTCACAGTTAGTGGGTTCGAGCCCCATGTCAGGCTCTGTGCTGACAGACAGCTCAGAGCCTGGAGCCAATTTCGGATTCTGTATCTCCCTCTCTTCTGACGCTCCCCTGCTCATGCTGTCTCTCTCTCCCTCTCAGAAATAAATAAAAAATTAAAAAAATAAAATGGATGACATCTATGACATCATCTGGGAAAGCTCTTAACACTAAGTAATTAAAGACTCAGTTGATGAATAGTATTTGTATTATTTATGAACTAACATGAGTCATCTTCTAGGTTAGTTTCAGTTAAAGGTGGATTTTAATAGTACATAGTGCAGGGCTCTGTACACAATACTTCCTAAATAAAACATGGTTGTTTGAGTGACCTTAGGATAATATGAAAGCAGTAACTCTTAGGAGTATAAGCACAGGGGTGCCGTAAAATTTTCAGTCAACAGTTTTGTGTGTTGTTACTATCAACAAGTATCAATGGAGTGGGACAGGAAGAATCAAATCATCAGTCATTAGAGGTGCCTGGGAGGTTCAGTAGGTTAAGTGTCAGACCCTTGGTTTTGGCCTCAGGTCATGACCTCGAGGTTTGCTAATTTGGGCCCTGCATCAAGGCTCCTTGCTGATAGTGCGGAGCCTGCTTCAGATTCTCTCCCTCTCTCTCTGCCCCTCCCTGGGCCTCCCCCCCCCCCAATAAGCACGGGGGCGCAGTAAGATCTTTAGTCAACAGTTTTATGTGTTGTTACCATCAATAACTATCAATGGAGTGGGGCAGGAAGAATCAAATCATTACACATTAGAGATGCCTGGGTGGCTCAGTCGGTTAATCAGAATCTTGGTTTCAGCTCAGGTCATGATCTCGTGGTTTGTAAATTCGAGCCCCGCATCAAGGCTCCATGCTGATAGGGTGGAACCTGCTTGGGATTCTCTCTCTCCTTCTTTTGTTGCCTCTTCCTGGTCCCCTGTCTCAAAATAAATAAATAAACTTAAAAAAATCATCAGACATTAAAATCATTAAAGAAGCAGAAATTAGGAAATGTTGCAAAATGGATAATATCAAGGAATGTACACAGATATTGAATTGCATATAATATTTAATTTATTTTGTCCATTGAATGGATTTTCTCTTAATTTTTTTTTAAGTTTCAATAAACATGAGAAGCACTGGCAAGAATATTTCACAACAGTTTATATATTGACAGTTTTAAAATTTAGTTAAGGGAAAATAATGCATGTGTTTTTCCCAATAATATTCAATATGCTATAGTCAGAAATCAAATACCACTAATTTGGTAACACAGGTACAAGGTAGAACTAGAAAATCAGACAATAAATGACTTGTTTGACATGTAGAAATTACATTCAAACTTTTGATTCTTAGAGCAGCAATGCACATGAATAAGTAATGACCTAAAGATTATTAATCATTTTATTTATTTTTAATTACTATTTTGTTGATAGTAATAGCTTGATAGTTGATAGTAATAGTTGAAAGTAATAGCTTTAAACTATTAATAATTTTATTTATTAATAATTACCAATTTTATTAATAGCTGATTTTTAATATAATACTTATCTATTGACTTTTTTTGTATTTACCTATCTACTGTTCTTTCCTCCTATAAATCTATTTATTTCCAGTGATTATCTTGTCTGCTCTCATTTTAAGTCAAATTTTAAGTCAAATTTAACTCTTTGATTAGTTAGGACAGGTCATTATCCACTATGCATTAAAAAGAAATTATTTCTCTATCTCTCTCTTTCATCAGTATTAGCTGTTTATATTTTAGTATATAAGTCTTCTGTTGTATATTCTGTTGAAGATATATTTATCATATTGAAGCTCATTTTCACTCTTTTCATGTCTTTTAATGAAAGTTTTAAATTTTAACAGAATGTTATCTTTCCCTTTCTGGTTATTTCCTTGTTTCACTTGTATAAGAAAATTAAGAGCATGATGATCACCATCTAGTGTTTTCTTTTATAAACCTTATTGATTATTTCATTTGGATCTAATATCAATTGGGAATTATGGTACATGGAGTAAAACTCATGGTCAAAATTCATGTTTTCCATTTGGAAAAGACACTGGTACTACAGTGCTATTATTTCTTACCATAAATGAAGTGAAATTTTTGTTTTCCTTATTTAGTCTGTTCTGTTTAGCCTTACAAAAATATCACACTGCCTTAATTATGTTAATTTTAGCTGTTTTTAGACCATTTTGTTTCCATATGAATTTTGGAATCCCCTTGACACAAAATACCCACTGATACTTTGACAAGGATTGCATTAAGTCACTGTATTATTAAGGGAAGGGTATTTAATTAAGCCTTTAATATTTTATTGCCCATGGAAGTATGCAGAAGACATTTTTTACATAAGGTAAGTAGAGAGACAGACAAAAATTGGTAATAATGTTTCTGTTAGAGTAAAAAGTAAATAAAAAACTATGAGTGTTAAATAAGGCAATATAAATTCAAAGTAAGGATATTTGATAAGGATACATGGAGGAAGAAGATTTACTTGAAGCCATGGGAGTGGAAAATGAATTTGTGAGCTTATTAGGAAATAAGAGCAAGCACACGGTCAGGGTGATGAAAGAAACATTTATGTAAGTGTCAGGCAGTAGAACAAGGGCCATGAAAAAAAGTCAAAAGAAGTAAAATGAAACTTGTTCAGAAACATCCATAAAACCTTGAAATTGGCCTTAAAGACAGACCAGCATTAGTATGGAAATACTAAAACAGTGGTGACATGCTTTACCCTAGAAATAGAATGAATAAGTAAACAGAGTTGTTAAGACTTTGTTAAATTAACATTCATTACAGGAAGCACTGGGTACCCGATAGTGAAAGGCACTTGAACAACAGACCACAAGAGAAAGTGAACTGGACAAGTTTATTACTCACAGTCTAGCAGGAAATGAACAGACCCCTTGAGGGACCATTCGAGGAGGTCAAGGCAGGGTGCAGCAGAGAGTCAGGATCTGGGGCACATGCTTCTATTGAGGTCTCTGGGTGGAGTTCTTTGACAGTCCTGAGCTAAGACTGGATTGGTCAATTCAAACTAAAAAGAGCAGAGTTTTGGTACCCTACAGGAGTATGCACTCCATCAGGGTACACAAAGGGAAGGCCACGGAAGGCAGGAGAGACTGTTGATCACAGGGTCTGTTGGGGAAGTCATAACAGTATTTATGACTTTTCAGTCTTCTCTGTAGGGCATGATTTTGAGTGAGGGGCTTATGTCAGTGTAAGGTCCCTGCAGGCTTTTTGGCCAAACAAAATGAATACTGAGACCGTAACACCATGGAATGGCTTAGCCAAACTCTCAACACGAGCCATAAATAAGTTTCAGAGCTGGCTATACAATTTATAGGACTTGGGACAAAATAAAAATATGGGTCCTATATTTTAAAATCCAAGAAAAATACTGTTAATATTTTTTAAAAAATAAAGCTTTTTTCCCCTTTTTTCCATAGTCTCTCTCCCTCTTTTTTTTTTTTTAACTTTGAAACTTTGTTTTAAGTTTCTTTCTATGACTTTCAGAGAGATGGAGAGAGAGGGAGTGCACATGCGCTAGTATGAATGCAAACGTGTAGGCGACAGGCAGAGAGAATCCCAAGCAGGCTCCTGCGCAGTCAGAGCAGAGCCCAAGGCAGGGTTTGAGCTCACAAACCATGAACCGTGAGATCATGACCTGAACCAAAATCAAGAGTCAGAGGCTTAACTGACGGAGCCACCCAGGCTTCCCTCTGCCTCTCTTTCAAATTGTCATGGAGCTTTTTACTTGCTATTTAAAGTCACTCAAAGTAAAGAAAAAATAAAATTTTAAATAATTACCATCAATTTTACTGTTCATCTTTATATTGTGCAACTCCAATTTTAGATGCAAATGTAAAAGTATTGTGCTTATAGTGTGGAGTAACCAAATTGCCCAATTAGTATGTACACATACTAATACTAATATTACACATATAATTTTTTCTTACTTCTGGTACAAAACTTAATCTGCTGTTTATGTTTCATCTTTCAGTGGTGTAAATTCTACTGACACTCTCTACCTTCAGCATACTAAGGAGTAAGGAAGAACAGAAAGGAAAAAGAACTAGAAGGTATCTTTTATGTGGCTGAAACACTTTCTACACATATCTCTTCTTCTCATGCTTTTGTTTCATTGTCCCAGCAGACTTCGCTGACAAAACACAGTTCAAAGGTAAAACTATTAAGAACTTAAAGGTTGAGAAAGTAGAGCATTAAACCCAGTGTGGTACCTTCCTGAGCCCAGAGCTTTGTGGGCTGTGTAACTCACCAGTTCATGAAGCTGGCCCTGTCATTGTTGGAGTAACTAAGTAAAGCTGGAGGATAGGAGTTTCTGAAAGGTAGTAGCTTGGTTTACTTGTCATTCACTCGCCAGTTGCTTATATGTGATGGTAGCACATTCTGCAGCGCCGGTACTTTTCTTAGATTGTTCCCAGACTATTTGCTCTGCTTCATCTAGATTCCCATTTGTTTTGTTTTTGTTTGTTAATTTGAGCTGATTAGAAGCATTTAATGATTGATGTATTCCTCCTTTCAGATTATTTTGAATTTTCAAATGTTTTCCATTTGGCTGAAGCAGAAAGAGCAAATGTTGAGTCTAAGCTGAGTATGCAATCCCAGATAATTTAAGAAGAATCCAGTTTTACCAGTAAATGAGTAAAGAGTTACATAACTATTATGTTCAGTTCCTTTCTGAACAAATCTAGGGATGAAGATTCTCTGAATTAGGTTGTTTACCATTAATTCCTTGATGGTAACAGTACTTTAAAACTTAGGTGCTGGGGCACCTAGGTAGCTCAGTCTGATAAATGTTCACCTTCGGCTCAGGTCATGATCCCATGGTTCATGGATTCTAGTCCTGCATCAGGATCTGTGCTGACAGCTCAGAACCTGGAACCTGCTTTGGATTCTATGTCTCTCTCTCTAGCCCTCCCCCACTCATTCTCTCTCTCTCTCTCTCTCTCTCTCTCTCTCTCTCTCTCTCTTTCTCAAAAATAAATAACCATTTAAAAATAATAAAAAATACTTTAATACTTAGGTGCCTGTTTTACTAAAAGTTTTTTGAAAGCTGTGCACTAATTTAAAATTTATGAACTTATGATGTACCTTGCATCAAGAACGTATTTACCTATTTTTATACTTGCAGTAAACCTTTATTTGTGCTGAGTATAGGAAATAGGTGAAAAATGAGACTGTCTACTTCAAATTGATGTATTTTACTTATTTACCTTATAGTTAGACTAAATTATGGTCTAGAAACATTGGTTAAACCTACTCAATGTATTTACAGCAAAAAATAACTTTCATGGAAATTTTTCATAATGATACATAATGTAAAAGACATTTTTCTTTATTTTTTCTTTTATCTCATTGAAGTGTTTGGAAACCTGGATGCATATGTTAGGATGAGGAGTTTATCCTGTAATTTTCTCCTAAACTGCTCTTGGTATTCAAACTATTTATAAGATTTTCAAGAACTGGGCCTTTTGGATAACTCGAATGGTAATCATGAAAAAGAGGGTATACTATGCTTTTTCAAGATAGATGTTTCTCTCAACTCAGTATCAGTGAAAAACAGAGATAGTTTTGTGACACAAAACACTTCCAAAGATCTATTCTTACCCACTATATTTTGTTTAGTTTGTTAATTATTAGTGCTTAATAATGATACTCTCTGTTTATTTTACATACTGTCTATAATTAAAATAGAATTAGTGCTTCCCAGGAAAGTTTATCCCAGCTTAAGTCTTTGTTTATGTATTCATTTATTTTGTTTCTTCATTTTCATTTATATTCAGTATATACTGCATGCCAACTGCCAGAGTTTCTTGTGGATAGATGTGACAACATAGTTTATAATTTAAGTAATGATTTGCCTATTTGGTTGAAAGAAGGCATACTAATCACAATTCATTTTTCTTCATTGTTTATTATTTTCATCACATAAATGGAAAGATTTTTAAAAAACATTTGAATTTTGAAGATATTTATTTTTAAAGAAATATTACCTACCTCTTCCCATTTTAATTATCAGATGAATTTATTAAAAAATTAAAAAGCCAAATTTTTCATTAACGTAAAATTAACTGAATATATCCTTACATTAATGAATGATAATAAAATACATAAAATACATGCCTAAAATATTGTGAACTAGTGACTGAAAAGAACTGGTCATATATCACATTTATGAAGTCTTTTAAAATGGAAAATAAGACATGAAAAACTAGAAATAAGAAAAAAATCATCTAAACATTTCTGAAAATAGGTAATAATAAAATTATCAAAAAGCTGAGTAAATGCTTACCATATGGCTCTGAACCTTTTGATAATGGTGTAGAAAATATATAGGTTATATTTTCTAAAATTTTTAGTTAAATTGTTTTTGGAAACATTTTATTTTCCTCATATTGCTTTTCTCCTTTCTTTTTTTAACACAAAATGGCTGTGAGCAAGAAAATAATATGCTAGTGGCTACTACAGTGAAAGTCTTCAGGATCTCAGTCAACTGAGTGTCCAACTCTTCATGTGGATTCAGGTCATGATCCCAGGGGTGTGGGATGGAGCCTCACATAGGGCTCTTTGCTGAGCATGGAACCTACTTAAGATTCTTTCTCCGTCCCCTCTCCTTCATCCTGTCTCCGCCATTGTCTTTCTCACACACTCTCTCTCTCTCAAAAAAAAAAGTCTTTTAATAATCAAATGAGCTTAATAAAAATATAAATAATCACGTTGAGTCCATCTCCATTTTAGGTGCTATAGGACATGGACTAGGACAATATTCACAATTATATCACCCCATATTCTGAACTATTTGGTGGATAGTAGAACAGGATTCCTTAGTATTATTCCTTTATATCTATAACTTTGAAGGAAGCCGAATTTATGCTTAAGCTAACGTGAGTTTCTATAATAGAAGTTTAAAAATGTAGATTGTATATGCTCCGCTATTCAACTTATCCCTAACATTCAGAGATGTACTCAATTGCAATCAAATTATTTTATGATTTGTCATTTAGGGGCACTGCGTCATGATTTAGAATATATTTCCAAATGTCTCCTCTGCCCAAGCCTTGCTTTTCTTGTTTTAGCCATCAGAAGGCTTTGACAAAAACTAAATTTTCTAAATTACCTTTGTTGCAAATTCCATATTAAGAGTGAAGTAGATTCTCAGCATCCTTGGATCCCAGTTATCCTTACTTCTGAATTGGTGGGTATTTTAATACCTATGATGAACATGTACAAGTTATTCTTATTAAATATACAGACACCCAAAAATGAAAAGAGATGCATGTTTATTGGGAGGTATAATTAGCAAATTTTCCATTACTTTCAAACATACAAAATGTTATAGATTTCCATTTTAATCAGGATGTATAATGTTGCAAGAGACTTTAACTCTTAACCATAAAACGAATCTGGAGAAGTTACATTATTACACTTGTTCTTTCTTTGTTTTTTTTTTCTTTGTTTTGTTTGGATTGTTTTTTTTTTTTACTTAATGCAATAAATCACACAACAATGCTGCACCTACATGCTTATACTTCACCAAGTATATTCTGAGAGTTCTGGGCTGAAGAACTGAAAGAAACATTTGGAAACTTGTGGGAAGTTGCCTAAGTGCAGAAGAGTGGACTGGTAAAGGCTGTGTGTCTAGCAGTAGGATTCTCAGAAATCCCATCTATGCAGTTGTGTCTCTTACCAAGCATCAGTCATCAGTTTCTAATTGTTGGGGACAGAACAGCAATCGATGGTAAGGTGTTCTGTGGTTAAAAAAAAAAAAAAAACTGGAATAAGATTATATAGTGAAGAAAACTCATTTCTAAATCAAAACACTAGCAATGGGTTAAAGATGCAAATGAGAGAGAGAGAGAGGAGGGAGAGAAGGACACTGATTTCCAGAATCTTGCTAGTCTTCCAATTCCAAACCCTTCTGAAAGGAATGTTTAAAGCCAATTTAAAAATAAATCTATCTGAAGATGAACAAAAGCACAAAGTAAGAAAAATACAATGGAAATGAATTGTCCACCCAATACTAGAAGCCTGACAAGAAGGAGCAAGACATTTCTGGAGAGAAATATTACCTACTTTGATCTCAGCTGTTCCCTTACCCACTTTATTCAGCATCAGTAAAAAATAATGAGACAAAGGAAAACAAAGGAAACAAACAATAAGATCAGCTACAGAGATAGCCCAGATATTAAAATGAGCAGAGTCTTTATGATACTTATTATGAATATATCAAAGGACTATTTGGAAAAGGAGAGCACCATGCAGAAACATATAGTGGGAAAATCAGCACAGATGTAAATGAGGATGTAAATAAAAATTCCAGGTAATGAAAGCCATTAATGAAAGGAATAAAGAATGCATTTGGTAGGTTAAGACCAAACCCCATGCCAAGGAATTCAGTGGCAAAGAATAACTTTTTTTATTCTATTCATAAAAATGATGTTGGAATACCTGGATATACACATGGAAACCAATGAAGTTGGAACCTTTTCCACACCAAATAATAATAAAAGAATAAGAAGGCAAAAACGGAGCAAAGGCCTGAATGTGAGAGCCGAAATTTGTTTTTGTACGTTTTTATGATTTGAGATTAAGCAAAGCATTTCTAAATACAACACAAAAATACAAGCGACAAAAGAAAAAATGAGATAAAATGGACTTCATCAAAATTAAAATGTTTTGTGCTGCAAAGATATTATCAAGAAAATCAAAACAACCCACAGAATAGGGGAAAGATATTTTCAAATCATATCCTGATGAAGGACCTGTAACCATAACATAAATAGACTCTTAAAACCTAGTTACAAAAAAAAGAACACAATGAAAACATTTGCAACTACTCTATATATATGTGTCTTCAAAGAGGATATACAAGTCTCTAGTAATGGAAAAAAGGTGCTTAATAGCCTCAGCCATGGGGGAAATAAAAGTCAAACCCACAATGAGATACAACTTTACAATTTCTAGGATAGCCATATTAAGAAAGATAATAAAGAGTGTTAAGAAGAAAAAAATTAGAAACCCTATACTTTGTTGCTAGGAGTTAAATGGTGCATCCA